CTTCGATGTTCCAATAAAACAACCGCACTGGGCGATAAGGCTCGCGCCAGCAAGTAGCCATTTTCTACTGTTCATCCGAATTTTGCCTCTTCGTTGTACTCTCTTTCGACTTCATTGCCTCTTAAAACACTTTAAAAATGTTTCTTTACTACAACAACGAAAAAATAAACTACTTACTCAAGATTGTAAATGGCAGATAGAAACAGCAAGGAAGGAGGCAAGGAGGCAGGCAAAGAGACATCTCATTTCCCAAGATGGCAATTTCCGAAAAGCATACATCTTCTCTCCTCACTTTCTATACCCATCAACAGAAACCAAAATAAACCACCCAACATCTCAGCACAGAATAGAAGAAATTCAAAAGCGAATCTTGGTAATTTTTTCTTCCAGGCAGTGGCTGGCTGGCTAAAAAGCAAATCGATAAGAATCAATAGGAGCACTGCAAAGCACAACAAGCACATCAACATCAACATTCACTTCATCTCTGCACCTCTTTCTCCTCCCTTCCTCTCATCTCATGCCTCATTCAGTTTTTAAAATGAATATTTTATGCATTCCAAACGGGACAAACACAGACAGACAGACAGACAAACTGACTGAGGGAAACCTAGACCTACTGAGCGAGTGAGAAGCCAGCCCCAGCAGCACTCCACTANAACGGGACAAACACAGACAGACAGACAGACAAACTGACTGAGGGAAACCTAGACCTACTGAGCGAGTGAGAAGCCAGCCCCAGCAGCACTCCACTAACATTGAATTGCATGAATAAATAATGAAGCCACAGCCACAGAAGTGAAAAGAGGAAAAAATGGCAGCAACGAAATAATTTGGACGATGCAACAGCAACTCGCATGAATCAAAACTCTGCAGCAGCAGCAGAAGCAGCAGCGCCTCAGTAAATAAAATACTAAAAACTGTCCAAATAACAAAGTAATAACGAGCAAACGGTGCTGCTGCTGTTAAATGTGCCACTTGTTTTGCTGTACACTTCAATGTGTTGGTGTGCACTTACCCCAAGTGAAGTGCTAGGGAAGGCAGACGGCGGCGAATGAATGAATGAAAAGAAAAGCAGGGCAAGCAGCACAGCACGTACAAAGGAAGGCAGAATTGAATTTAATGAAATGAAAAGCATTTGAGGGGCTCTTTGCTCTCAATGAAAGGAAGAAACGATCAAAAGAGGGGAGAATATCAAGAATCGAACAAACCAATTTAAGTTACACAATGGACATGAATGCGGGTGCCGCGTAGGAGGCAGAGGTGGTGATCGTGGTGGTGGTAATGGCGGTGAAAGTGAAAAACATTTTACGAAAATAAAAGCAAAAAGAAAACAGTTCGGCGTGCACAGTTCAACGCAACCGAACCGAACAGTGTTCACACAAAAGCACACCTCATTGTTCTTGTTACTTGAACACTTGAAGACAACACTTGGACACACAACAGGAGAACACAGGAGGAAGCCGCAATTAGCCAAATGGCGAAGTTGTGGTAATGCTGGTGCTGACCAAGTGTGCAAACACAGTCGCTTTCAGTTCCCCACTTTTCAGGAAGGAAAGGGAAAAAGAACAGAAGGAATGATCATCACAAGCCCAAGAAAGCAATTGAGGCAATTCCCACGGCTACAAATATAAATCAGCAGCAGCAGCAGTGAAAGGAAAAATATTCCGCAGTTATCGACAGGGCAGATCAGCATCAGCAGCATCAATAGTAGTAGTGCTCGTTGATCGATCGAGGAAATGAGATTTTCTTTTTGCAGAGAGCGCAGCAGCCATCAAACACACACAACACAACACAACATTCAGCTTTTCCAGCGGAAGCCATCTCCTTCTCTCACTCACTTTCTCGCACTTTCAATGGCTTATCGAGCGCAAAACATCAACCAGATTTGTTGGTGGTGTTTGGTGTTTGGATGCCGCTACTGCTGATGCTGCTACTGCTGATGTTCAGTCAGTAGTGCTTCACTGGTGCTTTGATGCGGCCAACTACTGTACTGCTCTAGTAGAAACGGGTTAAATTTCAAGAGTCATCAGAAACAGAAAACTACTACAGCTACAGCTACTACTAATACAGGGTGGGCCAGCAGTACGTGTATTGGCCACCCAAAGGGAAAGGTGCCGCGTGTTCGTTTTACTCTTGGCATTTCTAAGCATCTCTCTTCAATCTCTTCAAAAGAGAGTGCAAGAAAAATGACCTACAATCATTATCTTTTAAGGCGATTAGATATAGAAACAGACAAACGGACAGAAAAAAGTGGTGTTGCGACAGCTTTGTACAACAAGACTGCCGTCGAATAATGGAAAAGCTAAATGTAATCAGCTAATGATGGAATGAGCAAGTGATGCAGAGCAAAAGCAAAAAGTCAGTGCACCTACCAGGCGGATGTGGCGGTGGCAAACGTTGTTTGAAGATTTGCCGTCCTCAATGGAGTGGGAGAGGGAGGGAGAGATTTCGAAGGCGAAATCTATGCAGTGTTTATGCTTCACACACAAGTAGTCGATGATTTATTACGAAGTTGTTCAGAGGCAGTCAGCAGTTAGTTCGCGAGAGTTGCTCTTGAGAAAACGCAATGTGAATGAGATCATCCACGCAGTGAAAAACGGAGTTGATGCTCAGGGAGCAACTTCACAACCACCACCTTCGACAGTCTCTTGAACACTGGTCGGTCAGATTTAGTGGTGGTAGTTATTCAAATTTTTGCGTTGCGGTGCGCACACGATTAGCCCTCGTCGTTGCTGCTGCTATCAAGTCAATCTGCATGTACTGTCCTGCTCTGACCTCTGACCTCGGCGGATCACTGTCATGCTTGAAAATCCAAGGCAATGCGTCATCCGAGAGTAGGTGGCCGTGATGGCGCAATGCAGGCAAACGGTGAGCAAAAGAGACGGTGAGGTGATCACATGGTCCGGTTGTTTGACGAGGAGAAAGGAGACATGGAGAAATTGCCCCATTCAAACGGTCACTGATCTGTCTCTTCTGAAGTATAGAGTGTAGTATCAACAGGAATTAACCTCACTAAAGCAGGTGTGCAGGTGTGCGATGACAGTCTGGGTAAACACGAACGGGAACAGACAGACAGACTGGGACCAGCAAATGGCCAGCATCAGCAGAGCGTGTTCTTGCAGACGACCGGGCCACGCTGGGGCCCCCGCACACGCAAAGCACAAACGTAAACAACGACCGGCAACGATTTTGCCGCGGCAAAAATCTTTTTCTCTCCACGCTGCGTCTGTCCCTCCATCTGTCGGCGACGGGAGTAGTACTCTGTGGCCAGCTGGCACGTCTTCTACGAAAGCGACCGAGCTGCAGCGTGTGCGGACGTCCAGCACTTTTTAGCTTCCTTTCCTGTGTTGCTGTTTTGCACGCGAGTTCTTTTCCAGCGATCTTAGCCGGCTTTCATCGGGTTTCTGGTCCAAAGGTAATGTTCCCGTGCCCTGCTGCCCACTTCTGCTTACTAATTGACGCCCTTTTATCCCCATTTTACTCAAATAACCGCCCATTCAATCGATAATCGCCTCTCCAACTCGACATCAACTTATATTCCACTGCAACATTTTTGTTGTGATCGCCTTGTGTTGTGCATATGTGTCTTCCACCTTCATCAAAATTCTAAATTCTTGTCCCCGCCAACACCTCTTGAATCCTGAATCCACTGCTTTTGCTGTTCTGGTTGACATTTTGACAACATCACCGCTGACCATCACCAAAACACAGACCTAATCACCTACCACAAATCAACCGAAAATGACCAAGCTGAAGATGAAGGATCTGCGCGGCAAGAAGAAGGACGATCTGCTGAAGCAGCTGGAGGAGCTGAAGCAGGAGCTGGCCAACCTGCGCGTCGCCAAGGTGACCGGCGGCACCGCCTCGAAGCTCTCCAAGATCCGCGTCTTCAGAAAGAACATCGCCCGCGTGCTGACGGTGATCAACCAGACGCAAAAGGAGAACCTCCGACGGGTGTACCGCGGCAAGCCGTGGAAGCCCATCGACCTGCGTCCCAAGCTCACCCGTGCCAAGCGCCGTGAGCTGGCGCCCGAGGAGAAGGCCCTGAAGACGCGCAAGGAGACCCGCAAGCTGCGACTCTGGCCCCAGCGCAAGTACGCCCTTCGCGCGTAGGCGGCTCCTCTCGTTCCTTTTTTCCACCACCACCACCAACTTCTATTAAAACTGTAAACAAATGGACGTTACAATAAAAAGCGAACACCAGCAATCACCGACTCAGTCATTTCACTTTGGGGTCAAATTCCTAAAATTCTTCAAAAACGACAACTTTGAAAGTGCTTAAGTACCATCTTTTTAATGATCATCACCATCATCATCATCGACAGACTGAAATTGGCGACAGAAAGAAAAGATCNAGCTGGCGCCCGAGGAGAAGGCCCTGAAGACGCGCAAGGAGACCCGCAAGCTGCGACTCTGGCCCCAGCGCAAGTACGCCCTTCGCGCGTAGGCGGCTCCTCTCGTTCCTTTTTTCCACCACCACCACCAACTTCTATTAAAACTGTAAACAAATGGACGTTACAATAAAAAGCGAACACCAGCAATCACCGACTCAGTCGTTTCACTTTTGGGTCAAATTCTTAAAATTCTTCAAAAACGACAACTTTGCAAGTGTTTGAGTACCATCTTTTTAATGATCACCACCATCATCATCATCATCAACAAACTGAAACTGTTAACACAAGGAAAAGATCAGAGAAGTGGCCACAGTTTGGAATGTGTCCATTAGAGGGGAACCAAAAAGTGAGAGAGTGAAACAGCGCGCGCGAGGTCAATGAAATGTCGGGGAAAATAAGCCGAGACGATACATGATAATCTGAGAGAGCGAAAGAAAGCTGCTGATGATGTACATTGATGTACGAGTACTGAGAAGAGAGAAATAGAGGGGATGGAAAGATGGGATCCATCGTCATCGACAATCCAGAGCTGCAGATCCCGCGTCCAAATTACATTAGGCCTGGTAATGAGATGGGGAGAGAGAAGTAGAAGAGGGAAACAGCGAAAAACCGAGCCGAAAGTGATGCCACTAATTGCAAGTGAGAGAGCGATGAGAGAGAAGGAAAGTGAAGGAAAGAAACCCTGACTAAATTGCATTACTTTCTACAACACAGGCGGCGACCGTTGCTGCTGATGATTAGAGCAAAATGAAAAGAAAGTCTCCAATTTCAACTTTGGCGTGAAGTGTACAAAGCAGCAGCAGCAGCAGCCGCCGCGAAAGCGATTCGCTGATTCAATATACCAACAACAATGCAGGGGAAAAGGGAAAGGGAAAGGGGGCAGCTTCCGATGGCGTCTTCTGCTTGGTTCAACTTTAGTTCAAAAACGCTGATTTTTTACGCTGGTGAAGAAAAATGGTGTAGGTGGAGAGAAGTGATGATGGCAATGATGGCGAGTTGATGAAAGAAGAGGAAGTAGAAAGTGACAAAAGAGGGGGACAACATTTAGTTTGATTCAAAGGAGGAGGGAAGAAGAAAGAGAGATCATCAAAAAGTACACACGCACAGATGCTGTCGCGTCTCAAGTGGCGCCCACACACATACACAATTTTGCTAAATCAATTTGAGGACAGCAGCAGCAGTGGCGATTCAAATTCAATTTGCGGTCGTCGCAATGTGCTCACACTTCAGCAAAGTGCAGTGTAGCAGTGCAGTGCACAGCTCTCGAGGCAACGACACCACTTATTATTCTCACTGGTCACTGTCCTCCTTCTCTTCCTCCTTTTTCTTCAAATGCAGCCGCGGCCGCCACTGGCCAAATGTCATTCACCGAAACCATTTCGGTCTTGGGATCAGAGGGCTTTCGCGCCGGAGTTGCACTTGGCCTACCCGAACTGGCTGTCTTTTTTCGAAAACCGTCAGCAAAGGCAGGGTTACTACTCCCAGCACCTTTTCCTCGCTGATTTCCGTTCCCTTGAAGTCGATCCATTCTCACAGTAAAGTGAGCTCCCCTGTTGTGATTTCCACCGCCATTCGCTCTATTGGAGGCGTCCGACTTGGTGCTGCCATAAACCCCAGCTTCAGTGCCCGAACCGTCACGCCCGAAACGACGGCCCCAAAAAACGAGCCGACTGCTCAGCAGCTGCCCGAGGACCGTCTTAAAGTACAGGCGAAAGTTTTTCGACATGAAGCCGTAGATAAAGGGGTTGATAACCGAGTTGAGGTAGGCGAGCAGGTACGCCACTGAAAGAACAGAGGCAAAAATGAGTGAAATAGAAAACAAAAAAACAAGAACTTACAGGGCACCACATGCTTCAGCCATCCGTGGTTCAGGTCATCGACTAGCTCAAAAGCCCGCAGCACATTCATCAGCAACAGGGGTGCCCAGCAGAGGACAAAGAGAACGACGACGGCCACGAGCATCTTGATGACCTGCTTCACCGTGGCGTTGTCCTCCTCCATGCTGCGGCGGCAGTCCTGGTGCAGCTGAGCAGTGGATGCCGAGGTCGAAGACGAGCAGACAGTGGTCGTCGAGGAGGCAGTGGTCGTCGTTGAAGCAGAGGCGTAGGAAGAGGAAACGGAAGAGGAGGACTTGGGGGTGGTGACCACGACTTCGGTGGTGGTGACGACGCCCCCTCCACCACCACCACCGACATTGCCACCATTAGGACTGACCACCGTGGCGACCACCTTAACCGGCGTCTTGACCGCCTTCTTCACCTCAGTGTTCATTCTAAAATAGAATAAAGTTCAAACTAAACTCCCAAACTGCTCTGTTCCCTTTCCACACTTACGCATGACAGCTGTGCCCGTAGCGAATGGCCGTCCGCCGGCTGATGATGCTCCAGAGGTGCGTGCAGATGCGACAGTAGGTGAAGGTCATGATGAGCACCGGCAGGACGAGGATGAGCACAAACATGTAGAGCTCGTAGAGGCGGCGCAGGAGCTCCCAGCGCTCGGCACTCTCGCCGTCCATCGCCATCCACATCGCCTGGTCGCGGCTCTTCTTCACGCAGTACCAGTAGGGCTGCTTGAAGCCGTACTCCACGGCGCCGATCGGTATCTGCACCTAAATGGTTGAGGATTAGATAACAAAATTTCGAAACATAGCAGTACAATGCAAACGTACAAAGATGAAGAAGGTCGGCGCGGCGAGGATCAGCGCCGCCACCCAAATGACGATGATAATCTTCTGAATGTGGTGCATTGAAAAGGTGGTCCGACACTCCACTGGATGCAGAATGGCCCAGTATCTGTAGTGGTGGTTTTGGCAACAACATTCATCAAATCATTTAAAACTCCTCAACTAACATTAAAACCCACCTCTCGACGCTCATCGTCGTCAGCGTGAGGACGGAGCAGAAGACGCTGACATTCTGGACGTAGTGCAGCAGTCGACAGGTGAGGTCGCCCAGCGTCCAGGTGTAGGTCACCAGCTGGACCATCTTCACGGGAATGCACACGCAGACGAGCAGAAAGTCGGCGGTGGCCAGCGAGGCGAGGAAAACATTGCACAGGCTGCGCATTCGAGTGTACTTACACACAATGTAGATGATCAGGCCGTTGCCTAGGGCTCCGAGGATGAAGGCGGTGCCTGCAGCAGAAATGAAAATGTAATTACAAGAACTAGCAAAAAATAGTACTCACTGTAGAAGAGACAGCTGACCACCATGACGATGTACATGGAGACGATGGGACTGCTGAACCAGCTGTTCTCGTCACTGTCAACTTCAGTGGTAGTAGTGATGCTACTATAATTGAAGAAATCATTTGAGGTGCTCCCATTTCCACTTCCCCCGCCCAAAACAGGAGAGGATATGAGAAAGACAGAGGCGACTGTTGATGCGGCGGTGGCAGCAGCAGAGCTCGAAGTATTCGTTGAAGTAATGGAGGTAACGCTAGAAAGTTCAATAAAGGAGTTCGATGTTTCGGCCAATGCCTCTCCAACACTGGCAAAGGTCGTCATGGCAATGGCCTCAATGGCGAGGGCCTTAATGGTGGTGGTAGTCCCAGATTTTGTCAATGGTTGTCGATCACAAGCTGAAAAGAAGCTCAGCTGACAACTGAAGTTGACTTTTTAGCTTTTTGAAATAGTGAGAAAAGAACAAAATAGAGGGGAAAATGCCCAATTAAAAACTGCAAATGATCAGTGGCGGTGGTGGTGGTAGTGTGACACTGGTGGCGGTAATGGTGATAAATATGCACAATACATCAAGAGCGACTAAGCGTAATCGAGCAGTTGGCTAATGTGTTGATAGAGAGAG